GGACTCCAAGACCTATGCGACTGCGATCTCTACGCATATCCAATGCGGACCGGATAAGTCTAAGCCTACTTGCTCTACATCGTATGAGTGCGGTTGCCACTCCTCTGCCTTTACGCGGGACGATAATCCTGACATACACTTCTGCTGGCCCATGGCGACTAGCACTATCTTCCCCCCGGACTACGGTGGTGGACGGTCTCAGAGGTGGGTCGCAAGGCAGGCGAGGGCGACTCATGCGCCTAGAGCAGCGTCTGAGGATCTCGGTGGGCGGTCTCAGCGTCTTGTTGCGAGGCAGGCGGCGCCGACATCGACATGTTCTCCAGGTCATGTTGGAAGCGACTGCAGCGTTGTCGTCTCACCGCCTAAACCTACGAAGTCTTGTCCTCCGGGTTGGGTTGGACCTGATTGCCCTTTCGCAAGTCATGTATCAAGCACCCCGACGGCGACGGCTACCAAGGATATCTACGCTCGTCAAGAGGCTGAAGTGGGTGGTAAGCCAGTCTACGTTGTTACGGTCACCCATGTCAAGCGTGTGACTGCCCGTCAAGAGGCTGGACCGACTGATCTTGTCGAGGTCATGACGAACACGAACACTAAAGAAGCTGGACCAGTTGACCCGATCGTTGTCATCACTGTCACTAAAACCCACGATGTCAACGAACGTCAAGAGGCTGAGCCGACTGACCCAGTCTACGTCGTCACGGTCACCGACACCCTCGCTACCACCGCCCATGAAGAAGCTGAGCCGACTGACCCCATCTACGTCGTCACAGTCACCGACACCAACACTGTCAACCCAAGTCAAGAAGCTGAACCAACAGACCCAGTCTACGTCGTCACCGCCACCGACACCCCCGCTACCACCACCCATCAAGAACCCGACCCAACAAACCCAATCTACGTCGTCACAGTCACCAACACCCTCACCAACACCGTCGACATCAATGCCCGTCACATACCCGACGAGATTTCCGCTTCCCTTCCTCCTGCAGTAACGGCAGCGGATTATGGTTGCCCACCGGGTACTTGCGGACCTGCTTGTCGTTCTGGTCACTACTGCAATAAATTGTTTGGTCGTGTCGCTGCTGTGGAAGATGGTGTTTCGAAGGAGCCGGCGGCTTCGGAAGAACCTGTGCCTACGAGGGGGGGTTAGGCTGGTGTGGTGGTGGTTTTACGGTGGGGAGGTGTGAGGAAGGTGTTATGAAAGGGGGGGAGGTATGAGGATCTTGAGGATGTGATCGAAAGGAGTGGTATGGTGGTATGAGGAAACAGCGTGAAAACGGTGGAGTGACGTCTTTGTTAGTGTAGCTACTCACCTCTAGCACCAAAACTCGAAGATAACAGCTTATCCACCTGTTTTGCTCCTTCTCTCTTCCACATTCTCAATCATTTATCTGTTCCTACTCCGCTTCTCACACCCCAAACCCCTCCAAACCCGCCTCCGTACTCTCAATCACAGCCGGATACACCACACCCCCCTGCCTCCTAACCTGATCCATAACCCGCATAACCACCTCCGTCTCCTCCAACCCCATAACCTCACTCTCCAACTTCCCATCCCGGATACACCTTGCACACTCGTCTGCTTCCCAGAACATGCCGTGACCTCCCCCAGGTATCTCTCTGTATTTATCAACGACTTCGTACTCAAAGTCCGCCAGTTTCCCACGTTTCTCATTCGCAGCAGGCGTGAGCGTATATGTGCGCGGTTTCGGCGCATAGTCAACGGTCAAATCGCCCAACGTCCCTTGTATCCTCACCGCATCACCCCCCGGATTGGGATGCTCAGCGTTGGGCGTCGTAGCAACAACAATACTCGTCCCCGCCACGCCCTGCGCCCCCGACCCCGGAAAACTTAACAGCACAGTCGTCGTCTCATCAACGCCCGTCGCACACTTACTCACCGCCGAACTCACAACCGGCTCTTGCCTCTTCCCGTCCGGTTGGCAATGCCACAACGCCATAACCACCCACGTTAAACTATAAATCCCCAGATCCAGTAACGCGCCGCCTGCGAGCTTGGGATTCACCATCCTATGCTGCGTGCCAAACTCCTTGTTCACATCGTTCCAGAAACTGAAGTCGGCGAATACACGCTTTATATCGCCCAACTTCCCTTCTTTAATGATGGAGCAGACTTCGCGGGAGAGGGGGAAGAATCGCGTCCACACGGCTTCCATCATGAACTTCCCCTTCTCTTTCGCTAATTTCCTCAGTTCCTGGCATTGAGCTGCGTTGACGGTGATGGGTTTCTCAATCAGCACATGTTTTCCGGCGTTGAGACAGAGGCGGGCGTGGTGGTAGTGGTGGGAATGGGGGGTGGCGATGTAGATGATGTCGATATTTGGGTCGGAGACGAGGGCGGTGTAGGAGCCGTAGGCGCGTGCGCTGGGGGGTGCGCCGACGGATGTGAGAAATTCGGCGGCACGGCTTGCCGACGTGGAAGATGCTGCCGCGGCGACGGCATGGCGAATATCGGTTACATCGCGGGTTTGGGGATCGATGAGGAGGTCTTTTGTGAATGCTGTGGGGTGTTAAGATGGGCGGATCGCTAGACATTAAAGATCTTACTTGTTGCTATGCCTCCCGTCGCTACGATCAATTAGCCTCCTCTCATCTATATACGAACTCAATTGTGCATACCCAAGATACCCCACCTCAGCGTAAACGGCTCCGAGCTCATCTTGCCGAATGCGTTTATATCAATGACGAGATGCAGGGAGAGGACAAAGTTGAATTGATGGGCACCCTAGTTGTATTTCTACTTCCATCGCTATTTATACAGCCCCATCCTACATGTCTCATGCGCCCTAGGGCACATTCATGCTGCAGGTACATGTGCAACATGCCATGATAGGGCGTTGACAACCTCTCAATTAGAGTACCCCGCAGCGGGCGGTTGCATGTCAGAGGGCCTGATGACGCGAAAAGCGGAGAGACGGGATGCTATCCGCCTTTTCTTTCGATAACACCGCTAAATCAGATAATGGGAAAGATCTTTTTGGTCATTCTATAGCCCGTGGAGATGCCTGTTCCTCCACATACGACCATAGGACAATAAGAATTAGGCTTCCCGTCCGCTCAGCCATATACAAGCATTGTACCAGCAGATTAGTAGTTAGGTAGGTAACCACTAGCGAATCCCCGCTGTTGTATGTTTTTGCTAAAAAGTCTGTTTTTTGCATCAACATATTGTGGGCGCATACTTGTTAAATTGCTGTACACTATAAGCATAACATTCTAATTTAATACTAGTAATGCGTGGAATTCCGGGTATATACATTTTAAAGCCTTGTAGTCCCTCTACGTACCGTGAAAACAATGCTCTAGCAAGTGCTCGTGACCTAATACGACTCTCCATCGTCCTCTATAGTGTCGACCTTCTTTTACGGGTCGCGTCTTAACCCGATATACAGCTGCGACTGCGACCGCGACTATTTCCGAGATGTACTAGTTCGAGGGACGCCCTAGACCTTGCGCATGGCAAGCTTCTTGCGTGCCTGGATCGTGTAGGCGTACAGCGCATCCTTGAAGGCGAAGAGGAAGGCGGCGGTAATGACACTCTGGGTGACCTTGGGTCCGATACCTAGGATTGGTTAGCACGTTGGCTTTCCTCTTTCAACTCGTTCTCCACATACCTCCGTACAGCCCAGTGTATCCCTCCTCCCTGATGATGCGCCTGAAGGTGGTCAACATGTCCTCCCTCGGTCCATCCCTGCCCGCAACGTGCATCCTGCTCTTGACAGTGATGTACGGGTAGGTGATGCTGGTAGCCAACAGCTTGCCCAGCGCACCAAGGTAGAACGCATCCTTGGGCGTGACCCTCCTCCGCTTCTCCAGCATCTGCTTCAGCTGCTCGAAGACGGTGTATTGCAGAATGGGGTTGATGACCAAGACCAACGCCGGCATGACACCAGCGAACAGGCGCGCGGGACCCTCGTCGCGCACGAGGGCGAAGAGCGTGCCAAGCGTCGATGGCGCTTTCTGTGCGGGGGTAGGCGCGCCCGGGAGCGACTCGTCGGAGGCTTCGGATTTGCGCGTCGTCATGCGCGTGTTGACGACCCAGATGGGGTTGGTCATGAGGACGGTTGCGCTGCCGGCCAGGGCGCCTGCCATCATGGACTCGACTGTGGTGAGCTTGGAGGAGGCGCGACCGGCTTTGAGCGCAGCCTTCTCGAAGAAGGAGCGGGTCCATTCGTACCCTGATGCCGTCAGTACTTTGCGGTATCGCTTAGACGTGTATTGGCGTACAGTAGTAGTAGACGAAGTTTGTGACGCTGATGCCGAAGAGGGCAGAGTCGAGACCGGCGTAGAGGCCGGCGACACCCTCGCGCTTGATAATGCGGCGCGCGGCATTGAGCGTCGATGATTGCGCGCGCTTGGATTCGACCTGGGCGCGGGTAGAGAGGGTGATGAGCGGGTAGCTGGGGGTTGTTAGCAGCCCGCATCGCATTGTCGCGATGGCGCATACGTCAGGGCCATGGACAGCAGTCCTCCACCAGCGCCAGCCAGCGCATGCGCAACATTGTCGCTCTGCTGAGCCGCCGTGCTCTGGGGCACCGACGAAGTCGACTCGATGAGCTTCTCCTGCGCCTTTTCCTGTGTTTGAGACATGGCCGAGTGCAGAGTTTAGTCGCGCGGGAGCTGAAGAGGGGAAGCGGGCGGTTGTCGCGACGGGAGGAAGGAGCAGCCGGTAAGCCGATGGGATTGGGAAGGTTAGGATAAACAGTGAAGGAAAGGGTATCAAAAGGGAAGCAGCTTCAAGTCTCGTCGGATGGTCTTCGTCTCCGCATTTGAGCTGCGGCTCCGGCTGGCTTGTGAACGTCACCAAGCATTTCCGGGGTAAGACGTACAACCGAGGCAACAACTTCCCCCGATCTAGTCGCATGCGGTAATCCTCTCCAAACTACCAACATGTGCAATCTTTTCGCCTCATGCACTGCACAACAAACATGTAATCATTACTCTTGATCGGTCGTTGCTACTGGATTATTCTGCAACTACCTCCCGTATATCCTCCTCTCTGCTACCCGAAACGGTACATAGAGCACCGCTGCCAGCACAACTGCTACCTCCAACCCGATGTCGCCCGTAGTCTCCGCGATGGGTCCTGTCCACCAAATCTGTCCCATACACGGGATGATGAGGCCAAAGGAGAGCAGGAACGCGCCAATTGCCGCGAAACCGGGTGGCAGCTTGCTCGGCTCGTCCCACGCCTCTTCATCCTCGGTATAGGCCATGAAGCTGCTGCGTCGGAACAGCACGTGTTCGGTGATAGCAATGCCAATGAAGGCCGCACTCCAGTACCCGATGACGCCGATGAAGTTCTCGAGGTTCAGGAAGAAGCTACTGGATGCCTCGACAGCAACGCCAATTACAATTCCAGTGATGACGATGCTGAAGAAGATGCGCGGGATGCGGAAGAGCCAGGGAAGGAGCATCTGCAGGTTCAGTGTTACGCTGTACATTGTCGCCGACAGATTACCCAACATGCTAAAGGCAAGCACGACTGTGACGAAGCGACCAAACCCGCCAGCTGGTTGAAGCATAGCTGCGAGGACACCGCTCGCTGCGTTGACGTCGTACCCAGCCTGCCATGAGGCAATGTTTGGCGTCGCACCTCCCATCGCTGCACCGAGCGTCATCAGCAGGATCGTAGGCAGCGCAAGTCCGGTGTAGGTGTAGAGCGCGATCCGGAAGGGAGGAGCCTTGGGATGCATGTACGTCGAGAAGTCGCTCGCAAGTGCAGCCCATGGAAGCATGAAGCTCGCCACGAGACCGCCAAACGAGAGGATCTGTGACGCTGTAGCAGCAGGTGCTGAAACTTGCTGGCTGAGACTGCTACCCCCGCATCCTGCCGCAATAATGAGTGCGGCCAATGCTGGGATCCATGCCCATCGCTCGTAGTGATGCAATACTCCGAAGCCGCAAAAGGAGATGACCAGCGACAATATGGCGATGATGACGATACCCACCGTGGCGTTGATGGTCGCTCCCTCCTGCACCGCCGACAGTGCCATACCACCAATGACGCTGTCGACAACGCAGAAGCCCGTCAGCGTTGCAAGGTTAAGCAGTATCAACAGCGAGACAAAGTACTTCCCGAAGGAAAACCTCGCCTGGACCAGCTGTCGCATACCTGTCTTCGGCCCCCACGTACACATGTACGCCACCGGCACCGTCGACACGAGGGTAAAGAAAAGAATAACCAGCGCCGCGTCCCTCAGACTAAGAGCAAAAGACATTGTGCCCACCATGCCAAAAGTCACACTGCATACCCGTTAGCCATCATGCAAGGCCACCACTCCCCAATTGACCACTTACGGCAACGGATTACAACTCATGCAAAACCAAAGCGTGAAGATCTTTGAATACTGCGTCTCTGTCCTATCCTCATACGGCACAGGCGTACACCCTCTGAGCTCAACATCACCTTTCTTTTCCAGAAAACTCAGCACCCCTCTCCACCCTCCAACTCTTTCGTGCTTGCCCACCGTGACATCGCCATGTTGCTGCTCCACTCCCGCGACTTCCCCAACCGAGAGATTGGGCCGCTTGATGTCTTCCTGTTCCCGCGAAGGAGCACCACTCCCCACCCTGCTACTGCCTACACCTCCATTCGGGGCGTCTGCCATCTCTTTTCCCGGACCCGTGGTCTCTTGGCTCGCAGCAACCGTTTTCGCCGCTCCACCCCGAGATATTGCGCGTGTAAAGGTTTGTCAGTCGTGCGTAAGGGACCCGAGATGATGGTACAGACGCCGTTGACGACCCACTCGCTATGTCCGTCTACGGCTTGCAATGCGAAGTAATAGTGTGAAACTGCTCAGTCGTGTGATGCGATAAGGCCCCGGCGCGACTATATACCTGAATCATTTGCTCCACCCTGTGCAACGTCGTTATGACTCTTTGCTTACCCCATAGTGGCGGACTTGCGACTATCGCGAACAGAGATTTTTTGCAAACACAACATTTCTGGTTCGCGCATCCTGTGCCCGGCAAGGCTAGACGCGCACCCGTTCGGCACCGAGCGCTGCAAAATCGTTTCAATGCACGAATGCACGCATCCCACAACAAAGGGTCCATGACGATCTGGCCCACCTCGCGCGCTGCTAAGCCGACAACCGCATGATAGCCGTCTAATAACCGCGCCTTTGACTGTGTGCAGCTGTAGCTTCAGGATGCTACTCCGACCATGACGGAGGTGGATGTGCGATGCGTATGCCGTGGTGTGCATGAGGTTTTGTCGGCTGCATGCTTGCTGCGCTGCGCAATGGCCTGATTATAGACGCGCTTGCCGACTTCTCGCCGGTCTGCCGGACCTTCCCCACGGTCTTGACCGAGATGGGCGACACTCGTCCAACCACACTGCGTGCGGTGCTTGATACTCCGACGAGGGCGTGTAGCGTCCTCGGGGAGAGTGATGTTAGTTATCATGGGCGTTGAGCGCTGCGGCGTCGCCTTGCATGAGGCTGTCCCTCTTCGCTCATCTCCTTCTGCTGCGCTCATATTTGGAATCTGGTTATGGCTGCCGACGAAGAGAACAAGCGTGAACCTATACCGGTCGACGAGGCTGCTGTTGCACCTGAGCTGCCGGTTGAAGGTGAAGTCGAAGTCCCATATAGTATTTATACCAGCAAAGAGAAATGGCTCATCGTAGCCATGGTCGCGTTGGCGGGGTTCTATAGGTACATTCTTTCCTTTCATCTCATCTCATCTCATCTCAAGATACACACATAGAAAAATAACTAACACCACCACAGCCCCCTCCCCGCAAACATCTACTTCCCAGCAATCCCAACCCTCGCCCGCGCCTTCAACCAAACCTCCGAAGCCATCAACCAAACCGTCACCGTCTACCTAGTCTTCCAAGGAATCAGCCCTATGCTATGGGGCCCCATCAGTGACCGCTACGGCCGCCGCCTCGTCTACCTGGTATGTCTTAGCATCCTCGTCGCCTCGTCCATCGGCCTAGCCCTCTGTCCAACCAGCCACTTCTGGCTGCTCCTCTTCCTGCGCTGCTTCCAGTCCGGCGGCAGCGCCAGCACCATCGCCCTTGGCGCCGGCGTCATAGGCGATATATCCACGAGCCGCGAACGAGGCGGCTACTTTGGCATGTTCAACCTCGGTCCTATGCTCGCTCCGTGTATTGCACCTGCGATTGGAGGCGCGCTCTCGCAGGGCTTGGGCTGGCGATCCATCTTCTGGTCCATCGTCATCATGGTAGCGGTTTGTCTGCTGTGCATCGCGCTTTTCCTGCCCGAGACCCTGAGGAGCATCGCGGGTAATGGCAGTATCCCTGTGCCCCGCCTCCAACGCGCTATCCTGCCTATCGTCGGCCAAAAAGCAACGAAAGAAGCCTTCGACCCGGATTCCCGCGCTAAGGCCAAGCACTCTGTTAATCCCTTTGTCCTCTTTACGTACCCTGATGTCATCGTCCTGCTCACTTTTACCGGGCTGGTCTACGCTGTCAATTACACAATCACCGCCACCATTTCTTCGGCTTTTGCAAAGATATACCCGGAGCTGTCGGAGACGGTGCTGGGGCTTTGCTACCTTCCCGTCGGCGCGGGCATGATTCTAGGTTCTACGATGACGGGCAAGATGCTGGATTGGGAGTACAGACGTATTAAAGAGCGGTGTGGTGATAACTTCACCATCGAACACGCCCGGTTACGCATAATGCCCTTCTACCTCTCCCTCTTCATCGTCTGCGTCATTGCTTGGGGTTGGACGATACAGGCTAAAGCTCATATCGCTGTTCCACTCATTCTTGGCGTTATGCTGGGCTGGACGTCGATTGGTATTCTCAACACCACCATGACACTCAACATCGATATTCTGCAATCGCGTAGTTCAGGAGCGACGGCGTGCACGAATTTGGTACGCTGCTCGCTGGCTGCGATTCTGGTGTCTATCATCGATCGCATGGCGAGTGCGTGGGGCGATGGCTGGACGTATACGTTTTGGGGCGGCATATGTTGTTTGTTGATGCCGCTTATGTTGCTGGAGATCAAGATGGGGCCGGTGTGGCGGAGGAGGCGTGAAGCTAAGGAGTTGGAGGCGGAGAAGGCATGATTTGGTTGTTGGGAAGGGAAAGGAAGAGGTTGTGAGTAACGGTCTTTCGTTGGAGAAAAGCATTATACCCTTTTGTTGTTAGTTTAGCATAGCGTCGCATAGTTTTGCATTAAAATCGCATTGCATTGCAGATCTACGAGCGTTCCGATATATGTTTGATACGCGCACCAAAGCACATCCAAATGCGCTTCAACGCTTTTATTAGAAGCAGAGGTCATGAGAAGAAGGTAGTCATTTAGACTACCTACTAAACCCGCTGCCAATGTTCAACCCCCGAAGCTCTTTCTCGTGCCCACTTCTCCCTATCAGCATCCGTCTTCTTAATCTCAATGGAGCAACGACACCAAATCAGGAAAGTCCAGTAGAATGTTCCTCAAAGGATGCGCAACCACTCCATTCGTGCCCGTGACTTCTGCGAGCCGACCTCGGGCGTAGTGATATTCGGGCCATCGGTGACCATTAGTATCGACATGCAATTCTTCCCCATTAACTCGAACATTCTCCGAGCTAGGCTTGATGATGAGAACCCGTAGATTAGATCCTCGGTCAGCCATGTATCGGAGGATCTTGTTCGCAAAGTGTTGCATGAGTACTTGACAGAGGTAGACTTGTGCCCTCACAGGTGCCGATTCGCTGGCATCATCATCCTCGTCAAACTTGACCGTAGGGGGGTTGAGAACGCGAAACGCTTCGAGTACGGGGTGTGTGGAGATCACGGCCTGGGATTTGTTAGCGAATACGACTTATGTGATGGGGCCTGAGGCGTACCAGCATATCCGCGAATTCTCCTTCTGGGTAAAATCCAGTTCCAAGCTCGGTGATCGCACCCAGATGCACAGCCGGCATGTTAACCGCCAAATACACTAGACGAGTACAAGCCCGTAGTATAGTCGTCATATCTGTGACAGTGAAATAACTGCCGATTGGTGATTCTCCAGAACCTAGCATAAGAGTTTCGAGCGTCTGGCAATGGGCCAAGATGTATTCTTTGGCAACGAAACCATGTCGGGAGAGATCCAGCTGTAGACACAGGAGCTTAGGGGAGACCTTGAGCAACGATTCTATGGCCTTGACTGAGTTTTCTGGCTGTTCGAGTTGGCATGGAAGAACGATATAGAGACAATCCAACTTGCCAATGCCGGAAGTATAATACGAAGAGAATGACTCTACGAAGGGTACGATATGGTCGCACCCGCTTATCTGTAGACAAGACAGCTTGGAGAGATCAAAACCCTTTGATATTGCTCGGTCTCCCGTTTCTCCCAATCTTAATCCGAAAAGTCGTAGGCTTGAGAGATTTGAGAAAAGTGGAATCTCTTTTGCATGGCGAAGTATTCCGCACAGGGAGGAAACCTCGGTCCCAGTATCCTGCATTGGATATAGATCTAGAACATCTATCTTTGGATGATTCTCGGAGATAGATTTGAAGCCCTCGAAAAGACGTTCTTCCGGTGAGCTACGGGTTGCTATGTACAACTCAATGGACTTAACATCGGGTAATGATGAAGTCATCCACGTGTGGTGTTCTTCGGAGTCAAACTCAGACGATACGCGTTGCCCGAGTGTGGTGAAAGGAGTCAAAACTTCCAGGGTTTCGATTTTTCGTTGAGTTTGCAAGAGAATTTGTAGCGTGAGCGTGCTGAATGGGCAACGACACTCGAAACTTCGAACGCGATCCCGTGGGATGGCTGTTAGTATCAGTCGCAAGCGGTCTTCTAATTCAGATGAGCTGATTGTGTCGGAAACTCCCAGTTCTCGAACGTGGCTGGCAATCTTTGAATCCGGATGTATCAGTGTCGCAAGAAGTCGAGGAGTGACATTGCGGAAGTCCGTCTCCAATCGTTCCCACATCATGGGTGCCATGAGGACTCTGCATGCGCGGTTAACCAGACAGACGCTACTCTGGTCAGGCTTTGATCGAATCTGCTTGAGCTTTTAGCTGTTTTCATGTATGGGGCGGTCGCTGCCACTTACGAAGGCGAACACATTACCGACCATTTCGGGCGGCAGGTCGGCGAAGGTCGCATGCGCCATGTTGAGTGTGTAAACGGGGACAAGCTGCGCAACTGCGTTGTCGTGAATAAGTTTAGGAAGGAACTAGCCATCGGGGTGAGAGCAATCGAGGTAAAGGCGCGTGGCTCGTGCGGTGTTTGCTCATGCCCATGTGCAACGCCAAGACCTGTGGACGCGATCAGGGTCCATCACGGCAGGTGGGCACAAGAAGGAGCGTAATGTCACTCAGCCCTGTCTAAATCCGAGTGTAAGCCTCAGCCTGGAGGTATACACTGCGCCCTCTCTCTTATGGATCTATCATCAGTACCATCAGCGCAGTGCCTCTGTGCGCCATACTGGATGAGCAAAGTCGTCATCCACCGAGTGAGTAATCTTTAGGCTCACACTCAGTATTTGCACAGTGGTTCTTGTCGTGCCTGATAGTGCCTTCCCCAACATGTTGTGATGACAGTCTTCGCGGGCAGTGCCCCGTCGCACCTTCCAGCCGCATATCTCACCTTTGCTGGCACCTCACATTCTCTCAAGCCTCACTCTCTACTTTACCATATCCACTCCTGCTCACGTTGGTAACATGGCGCTGAAACGACAACAGGCGACACGGCTGCCTTCTCTAACTTGCACTGTCTTCGTCGCATCTGCTGCGTGGAAATAGGCGTACATATATATTGCGCTTTCGGGAAATGGAGGTTTGTCGGGCGCTTCATTTTCTGGAAGATTGCTCAAAAACTGGCACGTGACAGGGCACGTCGGCGTCGGCGTGTGATGACGTTTGAAGGCCCTATTTAACCGTCAGCATAGGTAATCTACCCTGCCCACGCCCCACCATGTTGGAATAGTGTTCTTTTCCACTTCCTCCTACCACCTCACACCAGATAAATGCTAGACTAGTTTGTAGACTGCGTTGAGTTGAAAACTTGCAAAATAGTAACATCAACGTAGACTCCAATGTGTTCAGCTTTTTCTCAGGGTCCAAGGTTGACGTGCTACCATGCCTTTCGACCAAGTCGAGTTTATCACACTTTTGACCGACTACTACGAGTTTTGCAATCGAGTCTTCTGGGATAATTCTGCCGTGTCCCCAGCCCCCGACAATGGCTGGCCATCCATCACACAATCCACCATGGCCAACCTGAACAAGACTGATGCAGTCATCGACTTGCTCCGCCACATGCCTTTTGTAGACTTTATTGAGCCAGACAAAGCCTACGGCAAGCACGTCATCATGAAGAACACTCGCATTCAGGACTACCGCAGCGATGCGATGCAGAAACGGATCCGGGACGGCGATCTTGAATACTACGTTGAGCCTATAGGCGATCCGTTACCGCCGTCATGTATCTCCTTCGGTAACAGCAATGGGCGTAATGGCTACAATCTCATCATCAACACGGCTGATGGCTATGTCTACTGGGGGGAACCTTGCGGCCTGCCCGACGAGCCAGCGCCAGAGCTCAATGCCGTGGTGCAAGAGCGCTACGCCGGGGACGAGAACGAGCGTTGGCGGGGGGGCTTCAACGTCTATCGCCCACGCGAGTTCTTTGCGGTCTGCAAGCAACGGTTCCGCGAGCTGCGCTGGATCGGTGTCCAGACGGATATCGTTGAGGCGGTACCGATGTACTGGGAGCTTGATGACGCGGACCACGAGTTCAAGTCGCTTTTGCGCAAGATGAGAAGAGCTGGGTGGCCGGGAGACGGGCAAGAACGGGACTGGGACCGAGAGGCATTTCAAGCGGCGCTCGAGGTGTATAGCGATGAAGAAGACGAAGATCCCGTACAGGCGGCGACAGAAGCGCTAGATGGCACTTGCGTTCATTAGATATTTGGCGTTAATATGGAGGGGTGAAAAGACTGTGCAAGCCAAGAGTGTTCACATACTTCATCCGGAGATCCAACTGCTCTCATCACTACACGGCGCGACATCGGGAGTTATGACCGACACTAAGGAGCATGAAGTCTTCGAGTACCTCATAAAACGAGCCTTTGCCGTCGATTCGCCTTTCGCATTCAATATTCTCGCCCAGAAAGACGACTGGAACCCATTCCAGGGATACCGGCTGGGCGTACCTGGTGCTCAGGGCCGGGACATTGCTGTGAACGCGTATACCCAGCTGTCCTATTCGCACAGCTCAGGCGTCCGTACTGCCTCGTCGACCCGAGTCTATCGACGCGATACAGCATCGGCTCTACAAAGAGCCTAATCTCGATTCACGCAAAGCGTTGTTCCTGGGCCGGAGACGCACTGGACTCGACAAGAAGGCGATATCTCGGATTGTAAAAGGACGAGAGGAGATGAAAGAGGATCTAGTGCCGCCATTCGACTGCATGGGTTTCTGTAGCCTTTATCGAGGCTGTTCCAGGTCGCTGGATGTTGATATGAAGTTCCATGTGTCAGTGGTCTGGAAGATGGCATTTGGTTCGGATCCAGATGCTGAAATGGGCAAATGTCACACTACATCATGCGACGCAACTCCGGCTGTACAGCTGGCTCATCATCTGACAGCTAACGTTCCGGCTTAGCAGAAGAAAGAGCATGTTTGGTTGAAACGTGTTTGTGTAGTTCTGAGATCTGCCTTACCCTACGACATGCACGGTTGACGAAGCTCACGACACCTTGATCGGTCTTGTTTCGCACTTGCATGTTCTTGTCAGCACATCCCTGATACCCAGAGTCCCTTTCGAAATGCAACGTACCAAGGCGAAAACATGACCGACTAATTCGAGCTGTAAATCAATAAGGTTTCTGTGCGTCATGGCTGGATGTGGAGGCTGTCGGGGGCAGGTGCAGAGACATCTCAGGTAGCAGCAGCGCCGGTGAGAAGAGAGAAAGGTGTGTCGCGAGAAAGGTAGGACGCGCAGCTCTTGCAGTATTGGCGTGCTGCCGAGACTTGTGGAAGTGAGCAGGGACCTTCACTCGGCATACGATAGAGCGCATACTAGGTTCGATTCCGATGTGGTGCACGCTGAAGCATGCATTACCCTCATGATTTGCATACTACGAGATACAATACAGCTTATAAGCTCATGATAGACATTAGCTAGAAAAGCGCCTGAGGATGAAGTCGCCAGGGTAGTTCCTCGAGATCTTCTCCATCTCAACGCGCGCTGCACCTACTAAATTGCTGCCCGAAATATCTCGAACATTTCCGCGCGTGTGGATATACCAAGGCCAGAAATAACGATCTTCCCCTTCTTCAAAATCACGAGTGTCAAAGGATTCGACTAGGAGGAGTCTCGGGACTGTACCACACTGCGACATGTGACTGAAGATCTGATCGCCGAAGTGTTTCATGGCAGCCTCGCACGACGCACGGAAGCTGCGTTCCTCCATCAAAGGCGTCTCTTCAAATGTCTCCGAATCATAAGAAAATGTGATATCAGGCTCGCTCAGTATTTCCATGGTATGAAGACTGGGATGTGCGGCACATTGTTCCTACGATGCCAATCAATAAAGATACCAATACAAAAAGGACATTACTTACTAGTACATCTTTGAAAGCGGCACAATCCCGCTCACTTGCTTTGAATTGAAAGTCCCCGAGCTCTGTGATATGTCCGAGATCGATAGGTGGCAGATTGATGGCCAGTCCTCTGAGCTTTGTGCACGCCCTCAAAATTACCCCGACTTCGTCTCCCGAGTAGTAGTGCGACTGAGAATCCGGAATTCCGTATTGGGATTTTTCGATAATGACGTTACGAAGCGTTTCAGCGTGAGGCAGAAGACAACTTTTGTCGACCAGTTTGCCGTTGGAGAGGTGTAGTTCGAGATTCTCAAGTCTAGCGCAGCAGACTTTGAGGAAGTTTTCAATGGATGTTGTGGTCTCGACCTGCACTTCGTCTTCAACACCGTTATCTAGGCGGATGCACAACTCCCTTAATTTACCGGGTGTTTCAATGTACGATTCTGAGAGACTGTCGAAGAACAGCGACATCGAGCTGCAGTCCTTGAGATGCAACTTCTCTAACCTTGCAACGTCGAAGTTGTGGGAGAACTGATATAAAGCATCCGGTACCAAGCTCATTGCCTCCATTTTGATCGATGTCAGATTGGAGAATAGGCGACTCTCCGGCGATAGCGAGAGCAGTTCTTGTAATGAGATCGGAGGGTCACAATCGGCTGACAAGTTCAGCCTTTCGAGACTAGGGTAGAGGTCGATAAAGCTCTGCAGATTCCGGTGGTTCTTCTCGACCTCTTCTTCCTCGTCTTCCTCTTCGCGCTCTAGAAGAAGACTAATCTCCTTCAGTTCAGGCGTCAGCGATGCAACCCACGCGCGGTATTCCCGGGAAGCATAATGATAGTCACTCGTCGAGCCAAGGCAGGTAAATGGAGTCGTTGCATAGAAGCTCTCTAGCTTGGTCTGCGATCGCAACAATTGCAAGAAAAGCTCATGCTGCATGTCGCCATAGGCCTGGAAAACGCGGAGTTTATCGCGTGGAAGTGCCAAGATCAACGACTCGAGACGGTTCTCCGCATCCTCATCCGTAAAGTCCGCAAAGCATAGATTCCGTACATGTGGGAGGATCCCAGAGTTAGGATCTAATAACGTCGTCAAAGAGCGGCCAGGGGAAGAGCCTTGGTGATCACCCAAGCTGAATTCAAGCTTTTCCCACAAGATAGGGGCCATAAGCTCCCGCCATGAGCGGCTGACGAGACATACAACGCCTTGATCTTTCTTTTGCCGAATCTAACATATGTGTTAGCGCTTTCTGGCTTGCAGAGCGGTAATGCCCGGAACTTACGAAAGCGAAAACATTGACAACCAGCTCAGTTGGTAGATCGGAGAAAGTCGCGCTCGCCATAGTGGTGTGGAATCGTGAGTGCGCGGAGTGCTACGATCGTAGGTAGTGAAAGGGGGAAGTTTGCGCGTCGCGGGTGGACGGCTCAGCATGAACATGAACATGGCTCGTGCGACGACGCGTCAATGTGTTGCCCCACCAACCCCGGGATGCAAGCAGGGGGGTAGTCTTATCGTCGGATATTTCTGGACTGTAGGCAGATCTCGTGAGGGCGCTGCAATTGAGAAGTCTATTACTGTAGAATAGTAAGGTGGAAGAGTTAAGTCAAATCGACATCAAGAGCGTGCACATGCGTAGACCAAAGGCCGTCGCGCCAAGGCGCTAGCGCGATACAAGGCAAAAGCGAGATCATTGAACGCACATTGTAGAGTTGAATCTGGGCAGCATGGCGATCTCTGGACCGATGTGTTGAATCACGCATGTTTGTGCGTCAAACGGCGTTACGTGAAGCGGCGGGAACTTGGTGTCGCTGAACATCCAAAGGTTTGCTCGCTCCTTCCCATATTGTGCGTCTCTCATTTCCCCCGTATCTGCCACCCACCTCTACCAAACATCAGATACTCGACCCCGCCATACGCATCACAAGCGACTCTTTATCATCCTGCGGATATCTATCCACATGCACCGCCATCACCTCCCTCTTCCCTGTCGCATCACAAAGATCTCCCTTGTTGAACAGATAAGCAGGCCATACACACTCATCGAAGATTTGATAAGTAATGCTAGGCCGGGTGTCGAAAACAATGGGTGCGGTACCGCATCTCGCCATGAAGCGCATGATCTCCGTTACATAATTCTTGTACAGGATGCGGGCTAATCGGCGTTCGGTAGCGTTGAGCGAGTCTGGTTTGTGTGCTATTTCGATCTCTCCGAAAATTGGGAGGTTCAATATGCGGAGGGTGTGAAGAGGGGTGTGCTGGGCGAGTACGGTCTAGATGGGTCGATGTCAGCTGGTGGTCTAGTGGTGAGGAGTAAGTAGGGTCTGGAACTTACGAGCATGGCTTCGAACTCGGTCTCTACATGTGTGAGACAGTTTTGGGGTCTTCCCAGTCTGAAGTCATGAGCTAGATCGATAAGGGATCCTAGGTTCGCTGCAGGGAGATTAATGGCGATGTCTGCGAGCTCTGAACAAGCGGCTAGAATCGCTTTGACGTCTTCCACTGCATATGAACGCCCTGCCCTCTCCTCACCAGTACCCAGTTCCAGTGACTTGAGCTTAGACTGAGCGATGATAGCGTCTTTGTTTATCAAGGCATGACGCGATACGTCCAAGATGAGCTTGTCAAGTTTAGGACCAGTCTCGAGGAAGCGTTGGACAGCCTGAATGTCGGTGTAGGGATGGGGTGAATTGGAAGGGAAGAAGATCTCCAGATCGGAAAGACGGGAAAGATAGCTGCTGTCACTGTTGGCGCGTTGTACCAGGAGGCCACCAAAGAAGGGAGCCATGTCATTGCAGCCAATCAGTGACAACGTGCGAAGGTTAGCAAAGTTCATGTTACTGAAAATCACCTTGTGGCTCATTCCAAGGTCGATAAGCTTCAGACGGAGGGTAGTGAGACTTGTCAGAATGGGCTCTTTTATGTCATGCTGTAGGATGTGATGCATGTCCAGGCGGTCGAGTGGACGATTCTCAAAGAGCGTGCCCTCTATGGACAAGGTCTGCAGCTTGGGAACGTATGGGAGAAGTTTGCGGTAGTACTCAAAAGAGCTTTTCGCTAGTGTCGGATAGCAATGAACATATACAGCTAGTCCAGTGAGGTCTTTTAGTGGAGGTTCCATCAAAGGACCAGTTGTGCGGATAGGAAGAGGCCCCTTGCCCGCGAAGGCCTCGTCGGGCCTGATGCGGAAGTTCAATTCTTTGAGCTTCCGCTGGGATTTGAGAAGCATATGGATAGTATGGCGGCTCGGCATCAACTTGGTGGCCATGAAGTGCGTGATCCGGTCGCGAGGTAGGGACGTTAACAGTAGACGTAATTTGTGCTCGATTTGGTCCACTTCAAACGAATCGCCCGCGACTCGTCGGGGTGTTGCTATGATAATCCGTCGGATATGAGGGAGTATCATGCTCTGTGAATCGACAAGTGCTTTCATAGACTGAGATTTGCTTAGCAGAAGATCGGTGTTCAACGTGTACCACATCAGTGGCGCGAGATTAACGCGGCATTTGTGGCAAACGAGAGAAATGGCTTGCATATCCTCTTTTCTTCGGATCTCATCAAAGATCATGCTGAGCAGCTCTGTTGGAAGGGCGGAAAAACTCATCTTGGCGAAAGCTGCGTGGAATTGAGTCGAGATTATCTCGTGTGGGTGGAAGTTGACAATGGGACTGGATGGACACAGATAAGTGTGGTCAGCGGTGTCGGTGCGTAGTGCGCAGGAGTCACTGCTAAAACGGCCATAGCCCTGGATTCACAGACCTGCTTGCTGCCTTCAATTCACTGAGTCGAAGAATACCTGACTGCATCGCTCCACCCAAGAGGTATGCGCCACATTCGACGACGCAGCAGAGAAGACTCTGACCGTCTCACGATCTCTGCGACCACCCTAGCTTGCTCTTGTTCGCACCATGATACCGTCTTAGACTCCATGCGGCGCGACACGAGTATTCGCCCCAGAAAGGTCGTAGTCGGTGTAGTGGCAATATTCCAAGAGCGAGGTTCGGCCGGCGTACGTCAGTTACAATGGCAGGTACGACCAAAAGGGCTTGGGATGGTTGCCACTCGATAGGCATTGTCGCATATTCAGTGTAGAGCGTAAATAGGCAGCCAGTGAGCGTGCAGAGCAGCGGTGGTAGGGGTTCGGATGGTGCAGCGACATGGGTGTGGTGAGCAGTGGTGCGTCGGCTGATCTAAGAATAGACGGACGATGCTGGGGTACCGCTCAGCTGGCATAACTGACCAAAATGCCCCGAAGCAGGCAGGCACGACCCGCCATAGCACCTGAACGACCGCAAATTACCACCCGCTGGACCCTCGACGACGCGACTCCATAGCGCGCTGCCATCGCAAACGACGTAATCGCCCGCTCGCGACTGCCCTGACCGAGCGACGGCGCTGGGCGCATCGCATCCTATCGTTGGACCTCTTCGCGCTGCACTCGCCGGCTCCGCTGCGACAGCAGGCGCTGCTGAGGACTCCCCTTGGGGCCAGAAGAAGCAAACCTCGGGACTGGCTCTATATCCATGGCCTGCTATTGGCATTAGCGCGGCCGCGAATCATCTCGACGCCCTCATGGCATGCTGACGGGCCGAGGAAGCAGCAGAGCGCGTTACACTGTGGAGAACCATGCAGGTCGACTTTGGCGACGAGGGAGAGACGGAGCACAGCCTGCACCTGACAGCCAACGCCCACCAGCACTACGAACACGCGGGGCCTGGCAGCGGGCCGGCCTACTCGCCCTTCCGGCATCCAGGCGGCGGTGGTGTAGCAGCAATTGATCCGGGACTGGAGCAGAGCACAGGTGCCAGCCGCAATGTGCACACGCCCATTCCCCAGTCCAGTCACCTACTTCAGCCAGACAATGCCCATAACCTCGCCCACGGCTTCTACGCCGACATGCGCAGCTCGCAGACTCCCCCGGCGTCTGCGCATGCCTCGCCGCGCTTCGCTGCCATATCGCCCACCAGCCAGCCGCGCCAGCCATCTGCCCACTACGAGCCCGCCGACCGCGACACGCCATCGCGCAATGTAGCCGACGACACCATCGACGACGCCTACGCGACCTTCATCCTCTACTGCAACCCCAACTTCCCCACCACCATCGACACGAGCGAACTCGTCAAGCTGTTCCGGACGCCGCCCAAGAGCGACGGCAACGCATTCAACACATGGACCCTCTTCGAGCTGATACGCAAGCTGGACGCCAAAGAGATCAAGACATGGACACAACTGGCGCTGGATCTGGGCGTCAAGCCGCCGAACACGGACGAGGGACAGAGCACGCAGAAGGTGCAGCAGTACTCAGTCAGACTAAAGGTAAGAGCCTCAAATTCATTCACACTTCTTATATCCGGCAATCGCCGAGTCATTTTCTACACATTTTCCGAGTTCTGGCCCAGCGGGCTCCAACAACGTCTCATGCATGTCATCCGGGTCGTGCGGCGCAGTCGACTTCAGCCTCAAACGCCTCATTGTGATCCGAACCACCTACTTGGTATCCGGCGCAGTGTGCGAACCGAGCCACTCACTATGTGAGATATCTGAGATGTACTGTTCCTCACGACTTGGTCGAAGATGGGGCCTCTGCAGGTCAGAGGGGCCGCGCATCCCGACCTGGCCCCCAATCACTTGTCATTTCATACATCATTCCGACCTTTGCTAATCATCACAGCGATGGATGCGCGCCATGCACATCGACGCCTTCTTCGAGTATCTGCTGGGCAAGCAGCACCCCTACTTCCTGCAAATACCTCCTCCTCACAACCCCTTTCCGGCTGACGGGCGGGATGGCGTGCCTTTGGAGGAAGATCTGGCTATCCGCGCTCTCGATCCCAAGTTCAAACCGAAGCGCGGGCGGCGGAAAGCTGATGACGGAGAGGACGACATCGACTTTGACGAAGGCACACCGGCTCGTAAGCGCCCGCAGTTGGATACGTCAATACCGTTTGGCAACGTGCTGCAGCCCCAATCAGCGTACCCCACTAGCGCCCATCCTCACAACATGCACGGAGGCTTCCTCACACCTCAAGAAGCGTGGACTGCAGTCTCAACCGTCACACCCTCTTCGGCTTTAACAGCAGCTTCAGCACCAAGTCGTTTAGGCCAAAGCCTGACACCATATACCGATTCGCCGATGTCTGGACAACACATACGATGGCGACTGAATCCTCACGACACGCCTCAAACCCCTCATCCACTTTCTGCGGTAACACCACAATCCGCATACCCCTTCTTCGATGAGCCCCAGTCTGCTGTCACGCCTTCCAGTGCGAGATCACGCTCTCGCCGGCGTCATGGCCCCGCTGTATCGTCGGCATGGTCGACCAACAACACCTCGTCTACCGGCAAGCTTCGTGGCCGGCCGCCGAGCAATCGATCATTTCGAGATGGGCCGTATAACACGTTTCCAGCGAATCCGAAGACCAAAGAAGGCCCGCCAATCGACCGCACTCCAGGCAATCTGACACCGATAGTTGAGCGGGCGCACTCTGACCCTCCAGCACCCGAGAACTCCTTCCGCTTTCCGCCAACACCAGCATCTGCCATATCGCCTTCCAAGATGGAAGGCCAGCTCATGGGTGGGGCGCCCCAGAAGCAGCGACTGAGTCTCCAGGTCCCTCCAAATGTCGGCAACCCAGTAGTGCGATTAGTCACACCAACAGTACTCGTGAATGGAGAGCAGAACGACTCCCCAGGCACGGGCCTAGGGCCTTCCCCAATAAGCGCCGCCTCAACACAGGTGTCGCCCGCACATGGCTACGAGCAACAAAGCATGTACCAAAAACAAGACAACAGGCCAACTCATCAGACCTTCCACGGTGCGCTCACGCCCTCCGAAACACCCGCCCAGCATCGACCACCTCCCCCAATCCGCTCGCAAACCTCGCCAGACCTTTCCACCACCTCCCCGTCTCTCCCCTCAATCCCTCTCGAAACACTCAACCGCGCCTTAGCCGCCGAACTAATCCGTGCCCCGCTTACCGGGCGTCGGAAGCGCTTAAGAGGCAACGAAGCGAAAACCCTAGCTACTGCTATCCTCCAACCACTCTACTCAAAGCCAGCATCGGGATTGCCGTCCTCCCCCGCGAAAGTCATGTCCGACCAAACCCTCGGCATAGCCATCAGCAGTTGTCTGGGTCTCACAAGCGCAGTCGGCATCGGTATCGGCGGCCCCACAGGCGGCGTCCGTCGCGTCGAATGCATACGCTTCCGCATTGGAGGTGATGGCTATGAAAGTCCTATCGACGATGACGAAGACGATGGGGATGCCACTGGAGATAACCTACGGTCTCACCCTGGCAACTCGGGTAGTCGCATAAAAGAAACCTTTGACGTCTTCTTCGCTGTTAACTTTGGCGGGTTGACTGGGGAGTGGGTCGCTAAAGGCCTGGAAATCCGCAATGAGAACACTGAAGACGCGAGTGGAGACCGCAGAGGAGACGGCGATGCGGCATTAGATCGAGAGGGTGCTGGAGCAAGTCAGATGACGCCCGCGGCCTGGAAAGCCAAGTTCCTAGACATGCAACGACGGTTATGGGAGAGGGAAGAGGAGGTTAAGACCCTCAAAGATCGCATTCTTGAGGCTGTGCTATAAGAGGAGGAACAGTTTCGTTTCGTTTTCAAAGCGGGTAAAATCATAGGGTGGGTTGATGTTGATGTTCTCTTTTAATGTTTGTGTATATTGGGCGTATATTGGATGGGAAGGTTAGGTTGGGCAAGGTTGGGAGGTTGGATCTGCTATATACCCCAGTTTGCTGTTTGGTATTCTTACTCTTGGGATTGGGATTGGGATGGGATTGGGATGGGATTGGGATAGGATATGATTGGGTTGGGAGTGGGGATGATAGGGGAAGGCTGTGTGGATGGATATATGGAAGGGGAAAATCTTGGATGTAGGTAGCATAGCGTGTAGGTTGTTTTCTGGACTAAATGCATAGTATCGTTGTATCTTGATCATCTGTACTCCGAAGCCAGCCTGGAATCATATCTGCATGTGTATCTTTCCTTTGTTCTGCGTAGCTATAACTATTCCATGTATGCCTCTTCCCTTTGTGTCTTTTGCTATCCAAGTCCTCGCTATACTTAGCTTTGTATATTGGCGAATTGGACAGCATGAGCCACAAAGGGAAGAGGCATACATGGAATGTATCTACCTGCCTTTGTAACGACGAAGCCACACTTTCTACTTGTACTTCATGTTTGTATGTACATTCCAGGGTAAGGGGGGACATTGTTGCTGTCATTGGTATCTACAGCGCCAAATGCATC